TCTTAGTTGTTAAATGACCACAGAATCCTCAACATACAACATTCAGGCACAAGTTTCCACTTACAAAGATCCTGGATTAGTGCCAGGAGACAAGGATATAGATTAAATTGACAATAAATGATAGAAAAAAAAATCGAACTACTAGCCAAAATCAGAAGCTGGGGGAGAATTAAGTGCAAGGACATATCTCAACAATGTTGAAGATATTTCTTTTTTGAAATAACAATGTCGAAGATATTTTTTTTTTTAAAATAACAATGTCGAAGATATTTAACTAGAAACAATGACATTTTCCCCAACCAAAAACATAAAGAAGCCAATTGGTAAGATTAATTGCAACAAAAGACTCATCTGCCTAAATTAAGAACAGCCGAAGAGAAATAACTACTACAAAATAAATGAACATACAAAACAGCAACATGAAGATATGAAGGGCAGAATATGTCAACGACTTGAAATAAAAAATTTGCTACTTCTTTGTCCTTTCTACAAGGTATATATATATTTACATGGAGATAGAGAGAGAAATAGAGAGAGACTGACCTCTCTCACCACGAATCTACCATTCTTATCAGGATATACAAAAGCAAAGGATAGTCTTGCATCCCTTTTACGTGCTGCTTGAGAAACCTCTTTAACCTAAATAAGGAAATTAATTGAGAAAAAACGGCCAAGTAATTGAAAGAACTCATTGTTTAACCAAAACATCAATGATTAACACACCAATCAATTTTCAGTTTATGCTGTGACGAAAACTTTATCATTTAAATCTTTGAGAAGCAGAACAACAGAGAGAGGTTTTCCCTCTCATAATCCTAACTGAATGCTGGACCTAGGAGGACAGCCTAACCATGCTTATGAGTCATGACAAATCATAAGCTATTGCTCTTGTTACATTTAGTGTGATACCTATCTAGTGCTCATGAACTACAGCAACTTCTTTCCCCATAGTCTCTGCAAAATTGAAATACTGTTCTAGTATAATCCACACTATCCCTACGGTTCAAACCCTATCCTTCGTAGTATAAAGACCTAAAAAGCAAAAGGATTTAACTAAAAGAACTGAATCTACAATCAGAAAGCCAGATTTCAGTTCTGCCATCTGTAAATCGAGATTCTTGGTGAGGCACAAACCTTTCTCTACACCCATGACTAAATTGGTTGCCTTAATGACAATCCAGTAAACCTAAACCAAAAAAGCCCTATACACTTAATGGCCAAGAATGCACCTAAAATCCACGTACTCCCATTCAAATGCAATAGGAAAATGATAATACACTCAAACACTATTTGCAACGATCCATTTAGCAGTTGAAGATCAATATACTTACATCCACATAATGATGAGATCCCACAACCTAAACATGCTTGAATCCTTAGCCATGTGCCACCTTCAATACTGGCTTCCAACTCCCAAAAGTTTGACATATATTCAAGCTTTATGTGTAGTTTATCCTTATCAATAATAAATTTACAATCCCAATAAAATTTTGCAATTTTTCTGGTCTACGCACTGAGGTCTAAAAACAACTTTAGAATGTAAATATGGTTAAAGGAAAAATTAGAATCATCTCCATTATATCACATGCATGATGCAGAGAAGAGATGATAGAAAAAGAAAATAATTGGACCCATAGTTCAACATACCAAGTCAGTTAACTCACGAAGCGTGGCATCCTTCCAAGTATAAATTTGAACCTCATCCTTGGGTTCCTTGCCTCTCACTGCAAAGTCTTCCTTGGTATGATGACCACCAATCTGCAAAATTGTTTATTTCTGTAACTTATACCACACAATTTCAATTAAAAACATGATATTGACATCAACAAAATCATTAAATCTTAGATTTGAAAATGAGTGAATGACTATTATTTAGCAAAGTGTTCACAAGATATACAATTAGATCTTATCACCAAAGAAAAAAGATTTACAATTAGGTGTAAAGCTACATTATGAATGTGGAAATGCCAAGTTCAACAATGGTGGACTAGTCATAATTCATTAGAATGCTAACATGAAAAAGGAAAACAAATAACTTCGTGGAAAGTGCAATAACAGACAGGATGCTATTTTATAATCTAAAACAAACATCCTTGTATCTCGTGGAGGAACAGAAAAGTGTTTGGCTTACAAATTCCCCTCCCACCCAATCCTCATCCAAAGAGCATAAATAAACACCACAACCGTGAAATACAGACAATGCCATGATTCATCAAGAATTAAGCACCAGAATGCACTATGCTATCCTATTTCCGAAGAATTATTAATGGAAGTTAAAGCACATCATAGGCCCTCTGCAAGATAAAGAACTCTGAAAAAAATAATTGTTCAATGAGAAAATACAGGAACTTGAACATAGCGAAGAGGCTGTAAATGCATCAAGGTAACAGCTGGATTTCCTAAGTAATCAATATTCTAGAACAACTAATATGGAATCCATTAAAAGACTTAATGCTCATGGAAGGAAGGAAGGAAGTGACAACAAAAGGCTAACAAAATTTGAATGATGAAGACAGCTCAACCTCTAGAGGCAAACAAAATGGATTCTACCGAAGCGCACAAAGGTTATTGGAAGAAATCAATTTTATTGTGGAATTTATGTGCAAATTCCACATAATTCAATTAGTAAATGGTGAAAATCTTCCTTAAAAATGACAATGTTTTATAGAACTTGAAATTTGAAATGCATTATTCTAATTCAATGTAAAGTCACTTATGAGGTCAATTATTATCATCTTCTACTAGAATTGCTAACTTCATGAGTTAAATGCGAATACATAATTAACTTCTAAAAAAATTCTAGATTGTTCCAGAGATAGTCTAAGTAAAGATCAAAGATTGTAGTGGTAAACTAACTGAATAGCTAAACGAAGGCCATGAATTACATTTTCTTTCGCTTTTACATTTTCTTTCACTCTCAAATGGATGCTGTAGCCATTCCTTCTGTCAGTTATGATTTGGCAAAGCCAGAATCTTTGCATTCTGCAGAATTTTCGGATGGAAAAAGAGCATATTGATTTGGGATTTTTTAATTTAAAGTTCTCAATCACACAAGACAAATGCAAACAGGAATACAGCGAGTAGAATAACATAAAAGCCAAAACAAAAATGCATTTCTAGAGTTTTTTGTATCAAATGGGAAAGCATATAACAAGTTTTCAATTGCAAACATACCTTCGTGAAAACTCGAAGCAGGAGCGGACATGTCTGCATATCAAACGCAAATATAAGTAAAGAAACAACAACATTCAAAGTGCACATACACACTCCCGCAGACAAACAGCAGCTTTATGGCTTAACCATTTATCAACAACCTTCTTAAACTTGTTTAAACCCTAGAAACCAAACAGTAAGCCCAAGACAAAATTAAAGAGGAAAAAACCAAAACTCATTTTAGAATCGTTTGCGATCATAGAGCTCAAATCACCTAACTGTATTAAACTACCAGCGAATGTTCTTGCAAAAGTAACCCTACCAGGAAGCAAGTTACGGTCTCAAAACCCTAGAATTCAAAAAACACATATAAAGAAAGCATTTCTGCAAATGTTTCTCAAACCATACAAATTCAACATGACATAGTTCCACGAAGCACATAAACACAAATGTGAACGACACTGTACGAACACAAAATGGGGTGAAATATCGGGAAGAGCCTGTACTTTTTCGCGATCAACGGGCTCGAAGCGAGGGCGGAGAGGATGAGGAGGACCTCTGGCAGATGGTGGCAAGGGTCTCCCACCTTGTCTCTTCTGTGCTTCCGCCATCTCTCTCACCGTCTGTCTGTCTAGCTCTCGAAGTTTCTCTTCTTCCGTCAGTTGTTCAAGCTTTCAGGGTTGAAACATGGCAAATGTGAACAGGTTCTGATTTTAGTGCATCATTTCTCGAGGCCCAATTCCAAATCCAGTTGAACGACGAAACTGCAGGCGTCGACCATTTTACTTGGGCCTGGAATGTCGGCCCATAGTAATCTTTGCTCACCAAAAGACACAACCAAAAAAAAAAAAGTTAATTAAAAATTTATTATTGCAAAATAATTATTTTAGTTATTATGAAGCGTTTTATGACAAATATTCTCATATATAATGATTATAAATTTAATTCTTTATTTTTTATATAAGTAAATGATAATGTTAAATAAATTATAAAAATAAATTTTTTATATAAATAAATAAAAATAACATAAGTTTAAAATTTAAAATTATAAAATATATTATAATTACTATCAAGCACTTTGTAATTCAAATATTATCATATGGAGAATATATATATATATATATTTATAATTAAGCATGATAAATGAAACTAGTAAAAGATTGTCAAAATGATTGACTTTAAAGCCTGCCATATTTATGAGAGGAGCTGACTCTAGTCTTTCAATTTTTGTATGATCAAAACATTACTATAAATCATCCCGCACTAATACAAAAATTGGTTCATTTATGAATTGTTTATTTAAACATTTATATACCAAATGATAAATTAGTAATTATTAATTTTGGAAATTATTGAATAAAAAATATTAAATGTTTAAATATATTATTTTAGGAGCTAAACAAAATTATTCAAAATCATAATTTTATATAATCACTAGTTAATTAATTTAAGTTTTCGTATTTTTACAAAACGAAAATTAACCAAAATATGTTCAGTGATGGCCCACCCTCACATGAGCTGTATTCCTTTGAAAGGGAAAGGGAAAGTCATAGTGCTCCTCCTACCAACCATTCCTTTGTAGCTCAGCTCAACCTAGGCAAGATATTTTCCAAATTTGCTTCACACTCTAACCAAAGGTTAAAAAAGAAAAAGGGTAAAACAGTAAAATAACAAAGGTAAAAATTATACTATTTTATCTTGATTTATTTGGGTAATTAACACTTCAAATATTCATAATAATTAAATTCAATTAATAAAATATTTTTCAAATGAGATTTTTACAGAAAAAGTGAGATGATAAATCCAATTTGACTGTTCCCACAAAGAAACAAAAAAAACTGGCAAAGCATGCTTAGTGAATGAGTAAAAAAATTGATATCTCAGTCGATAGTGAAGTCGTTGCCCAAAATGGAAAGGCGAATTAAAGAACCTTACTCTACCCGTCAAATCCTTTCCCAAAATAGTAAAAGACTTACCCACTTTAACCAGGACCAGTTCCATCCCCCCAACACTCTCTTTGAAATTAAACTCCCCCCCCCCCCCCCCCTCGTCACTGTCTCCTGCTAACTGGTCCCACTGTAATTTTTTTTTTACCTGCTTCTTCTTCTTCTTCTTCTTCTTTTTTTGTTTTTTTGTTTTTTACCAAATTGGATTTCAACCCAATTCTTCATGGTAAAAACTTTGATTGATAGTAGGGTGTTTGTTTATGGGAATTTCGTAGGATAAAAAAAGGCTGTGAACATGGGTTTGCCAGTTTTGTTAAAGACTTTTGTTTCAACCTTATGACACCTCATAAACAAATTTGTCAAAAAGAAAACAAGTGGGTGGTTTGTTGCCATTTGCACATATATACATATATAATATATATGTCTTAGCAGAAAAGTTTTTTTCTTTTCTAATATTAATTTTTTTTTCTTTTAAAATACATATACATATATATATATATATATATACATACGTGTATATATCTACGTGTTGGATTGGAATTCATTGTGATTTGCAGTGTACTAGTAAGAGTAATAGTATTGAATGGAAACCAAAGTTGGGCAAGCAAAACTGATTTTGCACTGCATTAATTAGTTCTCAACAACTTGACTTGGCAGGAGTTTTCATGCTCAATTAATATCATTTTAGACCGGGTTTACTAAATTTAATTTAAAATGGGAGTGTTAGACCGGATTAAATTAATTAATTAATTTTATGTAATCTTCAAAGTAGTGGATAATATTATGCCATTTAAATCAAATCAAGTAGTGGCTAAAAATATAAAAACTTTCAAACCAAAAATTGGATTGAAATAAATAGTGGGTCTACCAAGTGGTTAAATTTTGGTACAATATGATGATGCAAAGTAAATAATGTGTTTAATTGGGCAAACTATTAAGAAAATCATATTGGGTTTTTATTTCTTTTATTAATTCTTGATTTGGGTGACCTTATAGTTTCCCATACGATTGATTAAAGCTAAATATGCATGTTGTCAATGATAATTACCTAATTGGGTACGTTCGTGTTTTTGTTTGTATGGTGAATGGGATTCCTCCCTGTGGAAAATTTTGCAGTAAAATGACAATTGCTTGAGCTGTGGTTTGTTTCACTATTTTGGCTACGAGCTTAATTGATTCTCATTAGTATTACAACCAAAAAAAAAAAAACTTCTCTATAATGGCAAATCATCCACGCAAACGAATTCAATTAATTATAAATATTGAATCATATATATATATATATATATATATATATTATACCATGTTGCAGGAAATTTAAAAATATATATATATATATATATATTACCATAAGGGCCATGGGAAAATCAAATATATCAACCTCCAAGGAAGAAGGGAGATATTGACGCCCTACCTGCCCATAATACGCGATTTACATGGTGCTAAAATTAATATTTGTTTGGACATTTGGGTTTGGAGTGATGAAAAATATTTATTAAAATTTTGTGCTCGGATGAATAATAATTTAAAATTAAATAGGACAAAGTGATTTGGATTAAACTGATGATCAATTAAAGATAAAAGTATGAACAGAAAAATATAATTAAATTAGTTCATTTCAAATTTTCAAATTTACTGATTAAAAATATAATTAATGTTAAAAATTATTTTTTATTTTTTATATTTTTAATAAAAAATAGTCTCTCAGTGATAAGGACCGGATGAAAGACTAAACATATAATTATTTAGTTGAATTTAATTTCTTTGGTGCAAGCTGGGAAACGTACTTGTAAAATTAGTGTAGTTTAAATTTGATAATTTATTTATTTATTTATTTTTTTGTTAAAACTAACTTTCACATCAATTTATACAAAAATATTTTTTATAACTACGTGTAAATTTATTTTTTTTACAATTATTAATTTTTATTAATTAATTTACACATGTTACATTCTGAAAAATTTTAATTAACATATTTGATTTGAATCATGATCGTCGGTAATTGTTCGTTTCTTTTACTTAATTCTTTAAAGTAAATCGAACTAAGAAAGCGACTTATTAAAAGCTAAATCCAACTAATAGTTAACTAAATGTTTGGTCGGGTTACTTTGCTTTGATGCTACTTTTTCACCGCACACAATCATAATTAACTAAATTTTTAATGGAATTTTTTCTTTTATTTTTTTTTTGTTTTATAAAAACTTCACCATCAATTATAAATTAATAATAAAAAATGTTATGTTTAAGTAGAGGAATCAAGAGATCAAGTGGCTCCAATATAATCTATCTGAAGTAATTTCAATATTTCTTTTTTTTTATCTAAAGCACATGTAATTTGATTATGATTTTTGAAAAGTCATGAAATAGATAAGTGTCAATATTATTAAAAAATAAAATTTAATGATATTTAAATGTTTATTGAAAACAATTACTATTTACATGAGATAGATGATAAATGATGAGAAAGACAATTAGAGGTCACTTATAGGTAGTCAATTGGTAGGCAGTAGACAATGATGACAGCAAAAGGCAAGTGGCAGATGGAGGTGATCGACATGTGGTGAAGGGTGGCCAACGAGGGATAAAAGGCAGTCAATGAGAGGTGTATGACGATCTAGAGGGAGGTAAAGGGCAACAAGAGGGGCAAAGGAAGGTGGTTGGTGGGCAACAAGTGATGAGCGATAGTGAATAGACAGCAAGCAATAAGTAACAAACAAGGGTTAATGAAAAGACCCACAGAAGCAAGTGACGAACAAGCAATATAAAAGTCCAAAATTTTATAAAATGAAATTTATTGAATTAATAAAATATAAACGAAAGTAATTGAGAATTTAGAGTTTACATTCTTTACACAGTAAATTAGGATGTCCAATAGGTTTATGGGAATGTTCCTTAAAGGATATTAAAATAACGGAAGTAGAAATATAATTAAAATCCTATGGGGTCAACCTCCGCAGGGCAACTCTAATGAGACAAGAGAGACAACCTTTAGTTGCTAACTTTATTGCTGTTTATGATTCGGATATTATTTTTCTTGATATAAAATTGTTAAATAAGTAGAATGAGCTACACTACCTCAGTAAGAATGTCAACACTCAATAACTGATACAAAAAGCTAAATGTTGGTAAAAATAACAAAATAACCAATGAAACTATTTTTCTTTTTAGGTAAATTCATTTAATGTAAAAAGTAAGTTTCATGTCCACCTTTTAAGTTTTCAAATTCGACTTGTGAAGGCAATAA